ATCGATTCTGTGAGTGGAGTGGTGGGAATGAATGTGTTTGAGACAGCGAGGTTGGCACAGGATAGAATGGCGTTTAGGGCTCTTGTACATAGGGTCCCTATGAGTCGGAAACGACATTGCTGCATATATGTAATTTATAACATTTGAAGTAATTCTAAGAATCTTGGTAATGGTTTTCACTGTTAGAGTTGAGCTATGCTTTTTAAATGAAATGGACCGAAAGAAAATGAGAGCAATCCTTATTAAGAGTATATTAAATACAGTGAAAAGAAGCAATGTAAATTTCTTCATTACTTCTTCCTCACATGTCTTATTCTTTCAAGGGTCTATTTAAGAAGGCTTGTTTAAATTTCCTAATATCATATATGTGTACATATATATGTATTCTTCTGTTATCATGCATAGTTGTTTATACTTTCTTATACTTCTTTAGTTTATCGCTGTTGTTGTGTTGTTTTGTGCCAACAGCCCTAAACTGTGCTCTGTCCTGTGCCTCTGATACACCCACCCCGATTACCCCAGTCATTGAATCAATCCATCTCATAGACGGTCTTCCCACCTGCACTGTCCCTTCCACCCTCCTAAGCATAATGTCCCTCTCCAAGGATTATTGGTCCCTCCTTGACATATCCAAAGTATGTCAGATGAAGGCTCAGAATCCTTGCCTCCAGGGAGCAGCGTGATTTAACCCTCTCCAGGATAAACCTGTTTGTTTTCTTAGCAGTCCATGGTACATTCAGTACTCTTCTCCATCACCACAGCTCAAAGGCATAAATTCTCCTTTTCTCCTCCCTAGTCATTGTCCAGCTCTCTGATGCATAGCAAGTGATTGTAAAGACTATGGCATTAGTCATCAACTATTACAGGTTGGGTAGTGGACTTTTAAGGAGGAAGTAAGACCTATTGCTTGCTTTTGCTTATTATTTTTTTTACCAAATAAGTTTCTAAAAACATGTCTCACTAGTTTATTTTGAATACAATTTATTATACTTACCAGTAAATAATTGTATTTAAATTTTAGATGATATTGGTGCCCACATGAATGTTGGGAGAACTTACAAAAATTTAAATAGAACCAAAGAAGCTGAAGCATCCTACATGATGGCTAAGTCACTGATGCCTCAAGTAAGTTGTTAGGGTTTGTTCCTCTTGTGCATTTGTATTAGATATCTATACTGATTAACTTACCTACCTGGATGGAAATTCTCCATCATCATCCAGTTTGTCATTATTAAAAGTAAAGTATTCAGTGAACCATTTAGTCCTAAAAATTTCATAAAGGATAACATTTTCTTTTCTAGCTCACGTAGGTTTTTCAGATTCTTAGTTTGTTTTTATAATTCATTTAAAAAACTAAATCTGTAAAGTACAAAATTCAAATTTTTCTATTGCATGTTTAAGTGACTTTAAAGGAAGAGAATTAAAAGATAACATGTTTGGAAAAGTAGATCAGTAAAGGATAGGAAGACCATCTAAATATAAATAGACTGCAACAAAGCCCAAAAGAGATGTGAAGATGGCTCAGGACCAGGCAATCTTGTTCTTTTGTAGATGCGTCAGTAGAGTTGGAGCTTAACAGTAACAGAGGCTGTACTAAATTCCACAATTTTCCTTTAAGAATGAATTAAACAAAGAGTTAAAATGTTTGGCAGTGGATGCACTCAAGCACCTCATAAGATGAGGCAAATGATTTACCTCTGAAAGCCACACCGTTGAGAAGTCTGCCTCCTTTTAAGAAGTACATGATGTTTCAATGAGTTGGAACTGATTTGATGGCAATGGGTTTGGTTTTTCGAGTTGTAAAATTAAGATAATTTATTTTGTGTATGTGTTTTTAATCAAGCTCCTGAATACGTTAGTGGACATTTTACATTTCTTTTGTACTAAAATAACAAATGTGAAAATTTTCTTTTTCTGTATAGATTATTCCTGGTAAAAAATATGCAGCCAGAATTGCCCCAAACCATTTAAATGTTTATATCAATCTGGCCAACCTGATCAGAGCAAATGAATCCCGACTAGAAGAAGCAGACCAGCTTTACCGACAAGCAATTAGCATGAGGCCTGACTTCAAGCAGGCTTATATTAGCAGGTATTCTAGTTCACGTTTAAGCTGTCATTATAGAGGACTATAATCTAGCTTGTACCTTTTGACCAAATTGGCAGGCTTTTATTTTTTAACTAAAAGCTTAGATGAGGATTATCTTTTAGTCTGACATTCAACTCTCACTGAATTCAAATTGACTAGAAAATCTCTGACTTAATATATGTATAGCAATATTATGTGTGAAAGAAAGGGTAAAAAAAGCTGTGGTTTAGTTTCTTTTTCACCACCTATTTAAAGATATCTGAACTGTACAAAAAATTTTCAAGATAAAATACATTTTTGAGTTGGAAACTATCTTTCTTTAGCTTTCTTTATCCCGTATTTACCGAAATATTCTAAGTTTCCTGTGATTACATCTGAAAACACACCCTGTTACTTATTAATCCATGAAGAGTTATATGATAAAATCTGTACACTCAAATAACATTTGAATAGACACTCATTCTGAAAGTTGCTTCACTGAGAATATTTATTTGATCTCGCTACTAAACTGGTAGTATAAGAAAGAGCAGTATTATAGTAAATAACTCTGATTTTTCTCTCTGTTTACTTGTGATTTATGTGGATGTGCTTAAGCAAAATTACTTTCTGTGCTTTTTAGAGCCACATTAAGTGTGTTTTTGCAGCGATTTTCAAAGTAGGATCTTCATTTTCAGATAGGTTCCTCAAGTTTCTGTAGGTGGCACTCATAACTCCCCAGCCTTGCTAGATCAACTTTCTAATATTTTTAAATGGTCATATTACAAAAATATATATTGAAGAAAATAAATTTTAGACAGAATTGTCGGTTTCCAATGCTCTGTATTTTGTGTGAGACATGTAATGTATTTAAGTAGAATTTTCCTCACTACTACCAGTCATTGATCTTCCTACTCTATTTAGCTGCCGTTTTTCTAGTTCCACCTAGGCTATCTCTCTTCAAGAAACTATTCAAAGATCATATTTTTCTCTGTACTCCATTCTTCAAAATATCTCCATATTGTTCACCTTTAAAATCAGGAATGCTTCTCCCCATTTTATAATATTTAAACATATTCAATTAAATTTGCTAAACTAAAGAGTTTATATTTAAAACAGCCTTGCTAGAGTTATTTTGAAAGAGAATGATAGAGACTAAGTTAAAAGGCAAGATTAGAAAGCTGTCAATAATGTGCAAGGCTTAAGAGTTGTGAAAAGAAAGTTATCTACAAACTAATATGATAACGGTTGTAAGTAAAACTCATGTTTGATTTTTTTTTTCTTCCCACAGAGGAGAATTGCTTTTAAAAATGAATAAACCTCTCAAAGCTAAGGAAGCATATCTGAAAGCACTAGAGCTGGACAGAAATAATGCAGATCTCTGGTACAACTTGGCAATTGTTCATATTGAGCTTAAAGAACCAAATGAAGCTCTAAAAAACTTTAATCATGCTTTAGAACTAAATCCAAAGCATAAGCTAGCACTGTTTAATTCTGCTATATTAATGCAAGAGTCAGGTATGTTTTCTCAGATATTTCTATATTTAAGTAAATTATAGTTTGGAAGTAGTAACGCCTTAATCTAAACTCTATTACTCATAGCAAACTTTTATGAATGAACAATTTAAGTAAAAGGAAAAAAAAGATTAAATTTATAGGAGAATGTTTAAAGTGCTTGAAATAAATTCTTTTAAAGTAACGGGCACTAACACCAGCATAGTTTTTCTGATAGGTACAAACTGATTATCAGTCCAGTGAGCAGTATTGTTATTAGTATTAATCTATTCTCTATCCTGTTACTTGTACATATATAAATATCTTTAAACCCATTTTATATGTAAATACTAAATTGATATTTATAGAAATAACTGTGTTGTTGTCATTATTATGTACCATCAAGTCAGAACCAATCCATAGGTGATCGTCCAGTGGGTTTTCAGAAACAGTTAATTTTACAGAAGGAGATTGTCCATCCTTCTTCTTTGGAGCTGCTGGTGGATTCAGACTGTCTCCTATCCCACAGAGCAGCTATTGGCCTCGAACCACATGCCTTTAGGATTGCAGCACAGCATCTTACCAGTAGGCCATCAGAGCTCCCTATAAATAACTATAAATCATAATTGTATAATAAAAATTATAGATGTCCTTTATTCAATATAGTAATTGCACCCTAATGTATAGAATTGTAGAATTTGAAAATTTTATTTTTTTATTCTTTTAAGACTGTAATATAATTTATATTGTCTTTCTATTGCTGGGCATTTTTATACAGAGCTCATGTAATTAGACTATTAAGTCAGTCAGCCCAAAGAAGTTATTTACTTGTTCCATGCATAAATTCATAGTGTTAACAGAACCATGCTTAAATGCATAAGAAGTTGCAAATTTCATGCCTCTTTTTCTTAGTTCTCTAGTCTTCCTCTACTCCTATCGCTTAGATTCTAAACTCTAAGAAGGTATTTCCCCCATTTTGATTCTGTGGCCCTCTTTACTTTCTGAGAGGAAAGAAGATGAATGGTCATTAATGTCAGTGTTCCTAAAACATTTTTGTCTTCTATAAAAACTGAGATTTTAATTTTCTAACTAATCAGGTACAGAAATAAATTAGTTTTGGTTTGTCACTTTTGTAATCTAGCTAGATAAGTACTTATCCGTGACTTTATTCATCAGATTTAATTCATAAAATAGGAAGCTCTGGTGGCTTAGTGGCAAGAAGCAGTGCTGCAATCTTAAAGGCATGTGGTTTGAAGCCAATAGCTACTCTGTGATTCCACAGAGATGGGCAGTCTCCCCCCATGAAATTAACTGTCTCTGAAAAACCACCAGAGGGTCAGCAATGGGTTGATTACAACTCTACAGTATCCAACAACAATAATAAAATTACTTTTCTTACCAAACTAATTGTCCTTAGGTGAGGTTAAACTCAGACCTGAAGCTCGAAAACGACTTCTAAGCTATGTGAGCCAAGAACCACAAGATTCTAATGGTTATTTCAATTTGGGAATGCTTGCCATGGATGACAAAAAGGATGCTGAAGCAGAGGTTTGGATGAAGAAAGCCATAAAATTACAAGCCGACTTCAGAAGTGCTTTGTTTAATCTGGCTCTTTTGTATTCTCAGACTTCAAAAGAATTAATGGCTTTGCCAGTTTTAGAAGAGTTACTCAGATATTACCCTGACCATATCAAGGGTCTCATTTTAAAAGGAGATATTCTAATGAATCAAAAGAAAGATATTCAAGGAGCAAAAAAATGTTTTGAAAAAATTTTAGAGTTGGATCCAAGGAATGTACAAGGAAAGCACAATCTTTGTGTTGTTTATTTTGAAGAAAAGGATTTACTAAAAGCTGAAAATTGCCTGGTTGAAGCACTGGCATTAGCACCATTTGAAGAATATATTCAACGCCATTTAAATATAGTCAGAGACAAAATTTCCTCAGCTAGTTTGATTGAACAGCCAATATTTCCAACTGCTAAATCTTTAGGTAAAGAAAAAAGAGAAAAACATCCAACTGAAAATATCAAAGAAAGCAGAAGTGAGCACAAACCCACACAGACTATAAAAGCAAGTAATGATAAAAGTCAATCTAAATCTAGTAAACAATTAGGAGAAAATAAAGACAAAGAGACCCACCACAAAACAACAAAAGAAATCAAAGACATTGAAAAGAAAAGAGTTGCTGCTCTAAAAAGACTAGAAGAAATTGAACGTATTTTAAATGGTGAATAGTGTTACTATGTATCATGTTACAGTGGCATCAAAGAAATTTAGCCCATTCCATATGATTGTACAGGGAAATTTGACCAATAGCAAGAATACATAATAATCTATTATTACCTCTATATAAAATAAATTTTTATTACTTATCTTCACCCATGATACATATAAGATATAACTGATATTTTTGTGTTACGTTAAATTACAGGTAGTAAATTTGTATCCTTTGTTATAAAAGGATCTCTTTCTGACAAATGATCTATACTATTCTCAGTTAAAATTAATTTGAGGCCTGAAAGATAATCCATTTGGAGCAAATTCACCATGTTTATTAATTCTGTATAATTATCAGTTATTAGCCTACTTCATTTTTCCATCACCTTTTAGGATCTGGTAGTGGATTATGAACGCTTATTGAATATATTGAATCTTTTTTATTTTTAGTAATATTTGTGTTTAACCAAGAGACTTTGCACTACATAAGAATATTGGCTTCCTTTATGCAATATTTTATTATTTTGCTGTTTTTATTTTTAAGGAGTGTGATATGAAACATTTTAAAATAAATCATATGATATATTAGCCTAAGAATATATTTTTATAATTGGATACTTGTCCTTAAGTTTATCTAAACTGTAATTTGTAAGCACATAAAAGTTTACACATACATTCATATTTCTTATGGTGCTCATAGAGTAATGTTCTTTTTTCACATCGAAAGTTTTAGAACATGAATCACATAATCATGTATTATTTGATTTCCATTCCCTAGACTTCTTATATTAATTTTGGGTCATAATCATAGTGAAAAGTCTAACTAACTCAACCTATTGTCATTCAGTCATAGCAATTTATAGCTGACTCTCCACTGGTTTTCCAAGCCCGTAAATCATGTGAGAGAATATTGCTCATCCTTTCTCCCTTAGAGTTGATGATGGATTTGAAATGAAATGTCTTTAAGGAGCGGGCTTTGAGTTAGCAGGGCAATTCCCTGTGGGCTAGCATTTTATTTAATTTTTTTAGTGATAACATAGTAGATACCTTTGATTTCAGAATTAATTTTCTGGTCTTACCTGCAGTTTTAATTTCTGGTTTTCATAATCTCACTTTAATTATTCTGTGGTATGTTCTTATGAATAAGCAAATAAATTCTTTTAAACTAAAGGAAAAACAATGTGACAGCTTTTAAGCACTAAATTCTGTTCTGTCTTGCAATGGTGTACATCTTTATCGAAGATTTATTTTTACTACTGAGCTTTCATTAAAATTTTAAAGCTGTTTTAATTCCATCAAATATGGAAAACAAATCACTATTTTATTTTCCTACTTAAAGAAAATAGGTTTAACCTAAATGATAACATTTTTACCTGCTGTCCACCTAGAAAAGATATTAGCCTAATAGAAAAATTAAGAAATGTATTGATTGTTTTGGAAAATTTAAACCTGAAAAAAATGGAAGAGTTCATAGCAATCAAATTTAGTAATTTAAATCTGATTTCATTAAAATAAATTTCATATTAGTGTCATAATACCTAATAGTTATTTTTAATTTAAATGTTAAAGGTTATGCTATCTTGAGATAGTAACTGTTTATAATCATGTAGTATATCACAAACTATATTCCTTTGCTACAACTCTGCTACTTTCTAATTGTGCATTGGAAAAAAGATATTCCAGTAGCATTTTTAAAGAAATATAAATAGGTCACAGGAGACAAGCACTGTATTAAAGATCTACTTTTGCTAGCTTCCCTGAGGATCTGTGTTAGATTTCTTTTAGAGAGTTTAAAGTAAGCACTGACTCCAGTGAGCATTAACTTTGGTTCCAGGAGATTCCTTTAAGAATTAAAACAGTGCTTATTGCAGTTCTAAATTAGCATTCATGACTCTAGGTAGAAGGTGAAGAATACCTCATGTACCATGACTTGAAATGAAATCTGTCATTCTTATGTTCTCTCCACATATCTTGAGGATAAGTTTCCACGTATGAACTTCTGTTACACTGTCAAGTGTAAGAGTAGTGGAAAATAATATAAATTAATATGAAGACATTTTAACACAAATAGATAAATACTTAAGTAATATTTTAATAAAGTTTAGTTAACCAAACTATCAGTGGAATATATAATCCAGTGGGGAGTTTTGAGGGTATTTGGGGGATTTTTTAGAAAAAATTTTATTATCATCCATGTTAGGTGCCATTGAATACATCTCATAACAACCCTATGAACAATAGATCTGAACCCTGTCTTAGTCTGTGACATCCTCATTATCTCTGACCCACTTGAACCCATTGTTGCAGTCACCATGTCAATCCATCTCATTGAAGGGCTTCCTCTCTTTTGCTGTCCCTACACCTTTCCTAGCATGATGTCTCTTTCCAAGGAACACTCTGGCTGCACTTTTGCGAAGACATATCTGTGTGTGCTTTTGGCAGTCCGTGGGATGTTCAGGACTTTTCTCCAACACAACTCAAAGTCATTAATTCTTCTGTCATTCTTATTAATTGTTCAGTTCTCAGATGCATAGCAAGTGATTGAAAAGTCTCTGACTTTAAGTAGGTGCACCTTGGTCTTCAAAATTACATTATTGTTCTTCAGTAATTTGGAGATGTCCCTGATAGCAGACTTGCTTCATATGCCCTGTTTCCTAATCTCCAGACTGCTAGTACCAAGAGTCTTGATTGTGGATCCAAGTAAGATGAATCATTGACAATTTCAGTTTTCTAAGTCTATCATGATGTTGCTTGGTCTAGTGGTGAGGATTTTTGTCTTCCTTATATTGAGATACACTATTATCTTTATTACCACTGAAAAGAAATGGGAGGGTTTTAATATCTCATTTTGCACGAGCTAAATCTGAATTTGTAATAGTAGAACCATGCTTCATTTTTTTTCAACAGTGGTTCTAATATGCAGTTAGGGTAAAGAAACACTACTTAAAGTTAGACCAAGAAAATCCTGTTATTTTTTCTATATTAATTTTTTAACAAGCTATACATTACTCTGAAAACCTGCCAGAGGGTCAGCAGTGGTCACTTCTGCCTCGATGGTACACAAGAACAAGCAATTACTATTAAGGGTTGATATTTTAAATTCTATCAAGAAACAACTTGTGTTTATTCTTTGAAATGTAAAATGTTCTTTCAGTCTAAATTGTGTAAGATGATTATTTAAAATCATAATAAAAACATGTAAACGGTTCAGCTCAGAAAAAATAATGGTTTTGATTTCTCTGCCCCTCCTACCAGCTCCTGCTTGTGTGTACAAAGAGGATTATTGTGGTCACTTTGTTAACCTTTAGCTCAAAGATGTAAGCGTCTTCAAATACAATTACAGAGTTATGAAACAGGGAGCTTTCATAGGTCTATGTGCTGGTGAGGGGATGGAATTTTAATCCTCAATGTTTTACAAAAGAATCGACTAGCCAGGAATTCTGGGAAATCCCTAAGGAACAAATAAATACTTCACTGCATCTCAGAAGTAAAAATTAAGTTTCTCATATTGCTCCTATACATGTTTGCTTATTATCTGTTGAAATAACTTCTGAAGTTGATGGCTTGGAAGATAAATTGATTAAATACAGAATTGTATTTTGCAACTTCATATTTGTTTTCATGTAAATATTTGATGTGTGAATAATTGTGAATTACACAATTCTAATAAAACCTCATGCCTTTTCTTTGCATCTAATTTGAGCTCTCAAATTGATGTTATAGACTGCTTCTTTAAAGATGCTTTAATGAAAAATATATAGATTTGTATACTGTCAGTTTATACTTCAGAAGTCCATATATTTGTCATATAATTTATTTTTTTAAAAGTCTCCCAATTTGCATGACTAAATGGCATTTTAAATGAGCCCCTAAAAATATCTGGTACCTAAATTCAGCGTTTATTTATTGGAATCTGTCAGCCATCCTTATTAAGGATTCATACAAAATAATTTAAAATTGTGTGCATTTTTATCACTATGTTTGTGTGTACTTTATTTCTAAATATCCACTATTAAACTATTTTAAAATCTTAACCTGAATTGCTTTTTTTGGCTGCACTTAGCAACAACAACATAGAACTCAGTTGGCTTAGTGGACAGAAAGTGATACTTCCAAGCCAAAGGAGGGTGATTTTAGTCAGCAGCCCTCAGGCCTGATTTTAATTGTTTTTGGTCAAACATTCTTCTAAGTGGTATAGCACTGGTCTGTCCATTTGCTCTAACTCATGGTTGCTGTGATGCTAAACATTGTGACACTGATGAGTCAGATGCGAGAATGGTTACCCATGGTGGACGGTGTTTGGTGAGCTCCCCAATTAAAACAAGCTTGGAAGCAGGAATGCCATCCACTTCCAAAATAGCTTGCCTCCGGAAACCCTATGAACTTGGAGAAAAGATGAAAGTTACACAGTTTTTCAGGTCTTTTGTTCATGGGTCGCTATGAGTCATCTACGACTCGACGACACTTAAAAACAGCATTAGTATATGACAGTGACATATTTAGACATTGAGTGTTAGAAACCAAATGGAAATAAGATAGACTTGGGGTTTTACACATGCACAATTGAAAGTCATTGTAAAATCTTATAGTGAAATTAGAGATTTAAGTTCTGTATCCACCTGTATTCAAATTCTGGAACCACATTTATTGTCTAAGTTTTTATTGGAGTTTGCTCCCCAGAGGTAAAGTCTCTCAAGATTGATGTTCACAGATAGGCCAAATACTGACCTTGAAGACAGACTAAAAAGCATTCGCTTTAGTTAGTGGGACAGGAAACTTACTGACCATGGAGAAGCAGCACTGCAGAGCTCTAGTGGTGACAGACTAGACCTTATCCACTAAAGATGGGGGGAAACAGCTAATTATACTCCTACACCAGAAATCTCCAATACAAAGCAAAGTTACCAATTACACAGGTTTATGGGAAATGCTCACAATACACAATGCTTAGTTTAGGGGGAAAACTGTCACCTGCTTTGTGTGTGTGTAGTTATGCAAGCATGTATACCAATGAAGGAGTTTTTCTTTTGCTTTTGAAGGAGAAGAGCGAAAAGGGGGGGGGGAGGAGCAGGGGAAAAAATTACAGCAATGAATGAACAGAAATCCAAAATCTCTGTAAATGTTCATTGAAATTAATAATAATTAAAAACATTTAAGAGAAATGGTAGTTTGCCCTCATTCCAGGAAGAAACTAGAAAAATAAGTCTAGTCAGGTAGTAGCTTAGCATAAGTGTAGCCATTTTGAGTGCTTAATGCCTCATCCCATTGTCCTGTAAGGCTCTCACAATTTACCAATCTTCATGATAACCCTCAAG